TTGTCTTAAATAGGTGTTAATATTTTAGAATTTACTATTATTCATATTTTATAACTATTATCATCAATAAAAAAGTTATTCCAAATATTTAAGTATATTAAAGAGGTGATAATTTTTTTCAATTTATAGGAAGAGTGAGATTTTTGAAAATCTACAAAGGGGGCGTAGGATAAAAAAAATTTGGGAATCACTGTCTTAAGCAAAGAGTTATACGAGTAGGTATTAAAAAATTTCCAACTTTAATATTAATTTTTATTATTTAAGTAATCATTGACACAAGTCAAATATTCGTTAATAATAATGTTTTAAATTTTGATAGTAAGGTTAAAATATTATTTGTTTGATTGTTTTCTTTTCCAGAATTGATCTATAATAATAATTAAATAACATATTTTAATACTAATTATATGTATAAATTATGCTAATAAGTAATATATATCGTTTACTCTTGTTATGCATAGTAAGACGATATGTATATAATATATACTTACTATCACTAGATTAAAGATTTTGCATTCGTGAAATAAATTATACAAACTATTGCATTACGATTTTTGCTAACATATTAGGTTCAGTATTATACTGTGTTCTGTATGTAGTTTATATAACTATAATTTAATTACTTAATACTTATTATGTGGCTTCCTTTTCCCATGCATATTTTGTTAATAGGTGCTATACCGAGTGTATTTTCCGTAAAAATATATTACATATGACATGAAAAGTAAGCATACGGAATGCAGTTAAAAGCGTTTTATTCTTGTGTTTAATTTGGTATTTACGAGTAATACTACAGTTGTGTGTGTCATAAATGTAATGTCCAATCTTAAATAACTGCTATTATTTGTTAATAAACTTTTGCTAATTCTAAACGATATGATATAAAAATGATGTGCGTTCATCCAAGTATATAATACTCTGTTTATCTGAATTCCGGAGTTACCTATGAGGTAAAAAAGTCGTATTTTTTTATAACCTAAAAAAATTAAAAAAAAAAAAAAGAATAAATAAATAAACAGTAGTTGGTATTTTCTACCCGAGGGGACGCGTTATACTAAATGACTTTTCTATCCCCAAGGTCTCAAAAACTAATGCTTACACGAACTATACTCTAAAACATATCCTTACCCTTCTACACCTACCTATTGTAGCGCGATAATCTAGTCAACCAATTTCGTTCTTATAATGGTTTACTGTCCCCATATAGCGGGAACACGCCGAGAAACACCTCAGGGCCAATAACAACGATCTCCATCAACCCTCCACGTACCATCATAGAACGGCTCGGTCGATCATATAATAAAATTAAATCGCCAACGTCATATAAAATGAGCATAATTCAATTTAAACAGACTTTTATTAGTACGACTTTGGATGTCGCGATTACGATGTCAATAATTATTAATAAACGAGTCATATCGCATCACCAACCACGCGCGATGCAACAATAATTTCCGTTGCTATACTACACTCATGCCGGATTCGTTGGTGGCGGTTTGTTATTGTAATCATTAGTACGTACACAACTAAAACACTTCAAATAACAACAAACAGTAGATTTTCGACTGCAGTGAATAGTGATCAATCCTTTCTAAATGACGTTCAAGTCTTTAAGTTTTCAGAACACTTTTGTATTGTAGAGTCCCGCGTATGGGACTACGAGTAGGTATATAAGACGTACGTCTCAAGTCATGGTGTTATACATTATATGATATAGACACGAAAAAATGCGTTCCTATTTAATATAAAAATATTATATATTGTTATAAATAATAAAAATGAGCCGGTGGTCGTTGAGCATTTATGTAATTGTGCGGCGATGAAAGATGATTGAGAAGACGTCGTGTGTACGAATATATATAGGTATATATATATATATATATATACGAGAGCGCGCGGGACGAGGGAAGGGTGAAAAACGGGCGGAGGGATATTATTCGTTTTGAAACGGAATATTATTATTTCTGTTTTACAAATAGCGTCCGGTCATTAAACGCGATTAATAATCTACGGAACTACGGTGATTATATTAAACGCGGTACGACGGTTGCTAAATTATAACAATAATAATATGAATACCGTATAACAGAACATATTATAATAATATCATGTACCTATAAGGTATATATTACATATATATATATTATATATGTGTTTTTATATATTGTATACTCGTGTGTATTATATATATATATATATATATATATATATACACACTCACACACCGCGTACCTACGATATCCCGGCAACGAGCACGCACGACGAACGCGGAAAACGACGATGACGACCGGACCGAGTAGGCGTGTGTGAGGCACGCGTAGGCAACGGCGGGCCATCTACCACACGCGGCCGCCGCGTCGTGCGGATGCGGCTACCCGTCTCGCGTATACAACGATCAAAATAATAATAATTGACGCCTACTGCAGCACCACGCACAGTTGCATCGGTGGCGTTTGCTGTTTGGTGCGCGTTTGTCGCCGGCCAGACACAAACGAAGTAATAACGTCATATCGCACACACACACGTTCCCCTCTCGTCGTTATACACGGATAGTTGTAATAAATCGTCTACGCGGATAATAATAACAAAAATAGCAATATTAATATCGTAATAATAATATTTGAGATTATCGCGTAGAGCAGTGGTGCTTTTAACGCGGTTAATAAATTAAAGAAAATATTTACGCGTAGACATAATGCCTATATACAATATGTATATCATGACGTGGCGTTCGGGCAGGATAATAATACCGATATTATAATATATTATGTTATAATATTATGTTGTCAGTCGCGCGCAGTCGGCTCCGTCGTACTTGGTGAATAATATATGCGCTTGCATCATAAAAGCGCGCTCCACAACTCTCACATCGCGTCGTCGATAGCTACGTTTTTTATTTTCGTTTTTAAATACTCATCGATGGCTATTGCTCTGCACGGGGAGTCGCAAAGCGTTTCGCGTTAAGGGTTACGGATATTATTCAGTTTAAAACGCGTGTTTTTTAACCATTAAAATAGATCGATTAACCGACGTTTAAAATATTCGGTCATCAGTGTCAGTAATTTTTTTGATTCATTTTTTTTTCACACCGCGATAATGGTTAGTAACACAGTCGATGGTCATTATACATATTATTGTATTTTTGTTTCAATTGTTATTATTTTTTGTCCGGAATGAGATCTGCAGGTAACAGGTACTTATATATATCGTATTTTATTAATATCTCACTAATAAGGATTTACACTATTAGATAAGTGATAGGTAACCGTAGTCTGTAAAAAGGTATCATAAAATATGCAAACCGATGTGTCCGAATAATAAAACAAATAATGCATTCTTTATTAAACTATAGCTAGATTCCGTAAAATTCAGTTTTCATGTTTGCAATAAATAATAATGTTTGAAGACAAAATAAAATGTAGGTCGTAGGTGGTAGATATAACATTTAGAAAAATTTTACATTGAAAAAGATAATAACAAAAGACATGCTAAATGTATTAAGTGCTCAGTTGAAAAAGTTTGTTTAGTCAATATGATCTGTCGTATAATTAAATTACGTAAGCCATTATAACTCATAATATACCTTACTTTATTCTTTTTGACGATTCTAAAACTCTTATTTTTCGCTTAAAAGATAATGGTATATTTTATTTTTATTTATTATTATTTATAATATCCCAAATAAATCTATAATATATTATGAATAATAAAAAAACATATGTTTTCATGGTAGATTTCATTGGTGAATGGTAAAATTATTTAAGTTGGTTATTTATTTCCGATGAACAACAACAATAATAATAATAATTTGATGTGTTTCGGACGAAACACATTAAACTACGGCGGGCATTCGTGAATGTTGCATTACAATATTTGCAAATTGCAGTAGTACAACTATCTATATTTGTCATTTACTCGAAATTTTGTTGGTTTATTATTCACGATTGTATTTGTATTAGTCATAATCTCCGAGTACTATAACAATAAGTGATAAATTAAATAACCATTCAACTATCTTTCGTAACGATAACTTCGATATTGTGAGAAAACGATCACGTGCCAATATTTATTTTATTTTTATTTTTTGTTAAATTCGTCGTTTTACCATAATACATCAATATTTAATACAATGATTTATATACAGCAACAATACGATACAGCTTATCATCAATGATATGATGCCGTTGTAATAATAACAATATGATATCACGCTCCTCGGAACGAAACGCGTTGTATATACACATACGACGGCTGTATCCACTGGCCACTTGGGAGTCGAGACTATATCGTGTTAGCGTAATCATATTATTATAACGTTGCCATATCGTTAGTGTCATCTCTACTTGTTTAGTGCTCAATATGGTATAATATTTTGTATGCTCAATAACCTGCACTCATACTCGCACAGAATGTCTCATCACGATCATCTTTAGAAGATACCTGCAGTTGCCCGAGCACGACATGTAATACGCTTGTATTTCTATGTATTAGCTTTCTGTCAAAACTTTCACAAACACACTCAACTATTTGAATACTTAATAGAATAAGTGATTAAACTTTTAGAATATATAAATAAATTAGCCGTCTCGGGTTAGGAGAGAGACGAGGACACGCGTTTTAATTTTCTTATCACGAGTGCATCGAAAAATACGACAAATCATACCAACGAATAATAATTATTAGGTAGTAACATCGTAATATATAAAATAATCCCTCGTACTTTGAATATTGTCGGTTTTCGTGTATTAAAGTTTTGTGAAAAATGTAGTCGAAAAAGAGTGTAGGACGGACGAGAACCGTGACGATTCGATTGTGTAGTATATCATGAACATCACGTGAAACGGTTTCGTAGTTATCGTAGGCGGATCGATAGGTCGTGTGTGCGTCGATATACCTGTACGGTTGTTAAAATGTCAAACACTCGCCAAACCATACCTAGTCAAAATGGCAATAATTGAACGTTATACCGTACTTAACACTGTGGTCACGATTTTTCGCAGAAGCACTGAGTGGTGCGGGCGAGGCGAGCACCGAAGAGGCAGCTTCGTCGTGGAGTTCGGCCGTATCGGAGGACCACACGTCGCCGGACAGCTGCGCCACGAGCAACAGCCGGCCCGGTTCCACGGTCGACCACCGACGCGATCGCCACAGCCGTCCGCCGTCGTACGCAACGGCCGGTGCCGCAGCCGCAGCCGCCGTCGCCGCTGTCACAGCCGCAGCGAACTCCACCGACGCCAACCCATACGCATGCCAATACTGCGACAAGACGTTTCCCCGAGGCAGCTACCTGAAAAAACACGAACAGGTGGGTTTCGGTTCCGTTTTGTTTTGTTTTTTGTTTTATACCTACCTATATACCTACCTATACCTACCTAAGCGTATAATGATATTACAGCAAACTACTGTAGAGTACACGCTCAGATTATTTAGACGCATAATACAATGTTTTTATGAACTATTAAATAATTATTAGTTCTACTATAATATGTCGAATGATCAATTTTAAAATATATTAAATACAATATGATAACACATTGAAGTAAAATGAAACTCTATTTTTTAAATATTAATAAAAATAAATTTCCAATAAAATCCGGTCGAACGAAAAACATTTTATTCGATATTTAAAATTATTTGCGATATCCATGGATCTAAAAACTCAATCCTTTTTATACGATAAAAAATATTTTCTAGTTTCAGTTTCTAGATTTGATTAATTCAAGTACAATATATTATTAGGTAAAAGAAATATACAACTATACAAAATTTTGCACAACAAGTATTAAGTAGGTGGTTTATATATCGTGAAAGAGGCGCGATGTAGGAGGACTCCCAATAGAGCTACCTACTTAGGGAAATTTTTTTTTTTTACAAAATAATATAAAAAAACAAAATTGATATATGGAAAATAGTTGTAAGATGATCGGATCATTCCTGCCTCAAAAAAAAAAAAAAAAAACTGTGACAGATACAAAAATTAAAGTAAAAATCACATTAAAGCTAGCTAATATGTAAATTCCTTACTATTAATAATTTAACGAATCGTCAATATTCCCCGGAGTTCAGGTCTACACGGGATAACAATATATTAAAATGTATATATTATGTTAGATCACTAAAACTTTTTTTGATTGATGAATGATGCTAGACATTTATATTTTAGAACATTTTTTTCTTAACATTACTAGCGTTATTGTATCTATGCGGATATTTTTCTCTAGATTCCTGATTCATGCACCTGATATACATACTAAATTATATATTTTATTATTATTTATTATACTGGTAGGGTGTCGTCGGCCAGCTTGACGAAATTTATCGTTTTTTAGACATGGTGGGGAAAAACTGTTTCTCGAGGGGTCGGTGCAGCATGTTCTGTAAACACGTCGTACACATTCATTATAATGACGATATAATATTATTGTATTACAATATACAAGCGGTAGTGTATAATACAGTGTGCAGCTGGGGTGTTTTTCAATGTATGAAAGTAGGTATAGTAGGTATACCCAAGATGAGATTATTGTTTTGTTTTATTTAATTCTTTTAATATTCCATAAATCCGAGTACAATCACAACAATAAACGACCATTTTTGGGAACAGAAGAGTTTTGTTTTTATTTTGCTTTTACAGATGTGTGTTCACATAATTGTATTATTATTATTACTACTACGTATTTATACACATAACTAATATAGTAAATTCAATATTTTCAACTCACGCAATTCTTACCTTTTATGTATTATATTATATACGAGTGAACTAGAAGTTACCACAAATTTTCCAACTTAACGTGATTTCTGAGAAAAGCTCAAGTTGAAAACACAAAACAATATGAACAATCCAGTAATTCCAATGGATTTAAAATCATATCTTTGTTAAAACAGACGGACTACTAATAGTAAACTCCTAACTCGATAGTGACATTTATTTCATATAATACAATAGTCACCATCATTGTATGTATTTTTTTTTCATTATCAAAAATAAAATAATACGAGTTGGCAATACAATTTTGAAAGAACGCGATAATTTAGTACTGGGCTCAATAAATATTATAAATATTAAAAAAATATAATTTTCGACGAAAGTAATATAGTTTTTAAATAAATAAACTATCTCTAGTTAAAAATATCACGTGAAAAAAAAACAGGCAACTCATTTCTGAACATAGTAAATATCGAGTGTACATATTTGTTGAATAGGTCACAGAAAATATTAGTATAAGTAATTGATGTGTGAGTGTGTTAAATTTAAATCCATTGATTAATGATTGTATACGAAATAAATTCTGAGTAAAAGCACACCACGAGTCGTAGGCCTATCAGCTTCGATTAATTTATCTTAAAGGTGTTTTATAATATTATATTTTTATTACTAATTAATTTTTCTGCTAGTAATACATAATAATACGGTAGTCGGAGCTAAAATATTAAACGTGCAATATTTTTATTTTTTTTTTTTGACAAAATCATTGTATAATAAATATCATGTTATATTTTAATATAGCGTTATTAATTTATGATATATTATAGCTATCAAAAAATCAAAATAAATGTACTTAATGTAGAATGTCGTTTAAATATAGGCAAATCTTTAAACATATTTTTTCAATGTAATTTACTCGATTTACTCGATTTATCTGTCTAGTACAATACTATATCACCAGACAGTAGTATTATAATTTAAGCATAATTTCTTACGCCCATTATATAATGGACGTATGTTAATATATTATATGGGGTGTTATCGGTTATCGGATTAACGGCGTAGAGAGAGGGGATGATCACTGAGCACTTTGTGTCATGGCTGATGTATCTATTGATTACACGAATATGTGTTATCATAATAATAAGTAATAACTAATAATACATCATAGATAGGTAGTCCTTGTCTACAGGCGAAGTGCAGTAACGTAGTTATTCAATAGGTGTAACAATGACCACAATACCACTAGGTAGGTAACGCATAAGTACCGCGTAGAGGTAATAAGTTGTAAACAACTTATACTAACATAAACTATTCGTGTTTCGAACATAAAATGGCGCACAGATTACAAGTTATGTATATATATGTACATATTATTATATCGTATATTATTATTATTATTATTATTATAAATACGAAAAGACGAAGAAGAAGGCAAACGGGCAATACGCGTATATAATATATAGCTGACCGAGGTCTGAGATCGGCCCCGGCCTCGTCCGATAAGGTGTGAAGGCGCTCAACTCGCCCGAAGATGTCCGCGGTACCTATATAAATATGTTATATAATATATACGATATGATATATCATAATATATACGTATAATATATAGAATAACATGAAGACATACGCACACACACACACATACTAAACCACGTCGTATCATATATTAATATTATTGTTTTCATCATGTGTATATTATTTATTATTATTATTATTCGCGTTTAACACGCGGCTTTGCGTGTGACCTAAAACACCAAGTGTGCGTGTGTCGTATACGTCGGACGACCGACCTCCGTACGACGATGCAGTTGCATGTGCTTCGAAAAATCGCCTATATTATTATTATTATTATTATGTTTACCGCCGTCTGTGCAGCATCTGCTGCGCGATCACCATTGGGATCCCCTAGTGGCGCAGCGGTTAGGAGTAAATTTCTGTTTTTTTTTTTTTTTTTTTTTTTTGTTTCTGTCATCGTCGGTTCACACGTTATCATTTGTATTAATATTATGTACGTATATATATAAATTACTAAAGTTACAACTGCGGAATATACGTGTGTACACACACGCGCACAAAAAAACTCGACCGATTCACGTACACGTATATATTATGTATAAAAAAAAATTGTGTTTCATTGTATATATGACGTGTATGTAGTTATATACATATTATATTACAACACATATTAAAGATTTCTCAAGACCACGCAGGGACCACGCGAGATGAAAAAAAAAAGACATTGATGATTCAGTGAATTACAAACGATTTACATTTAAAAATCTTATTATTGCGTTTCAAATTAATTTATTCGTATGCACCATATAATATTTAAAAAATGTATCTATTAAACGTGTTTCGGAAAATACCGTAAGTGTTAAGGCGAGTTTAGGTGTTTTATATTATATCCTATTCACATTTTTACTTATCCATAAAAAGTAATTAAATCTAAAGAAAGCTACGTTTAGAATTTCAATTAAACTAAAGCTGAAATTTGCAACTTAACTGGAACCTGTAATGTATTATAATAATTTCACCAGATTTAAAATGCTGATGATATATTTAATAATTTTACTATGACCACTAATAAATAGAATACGATGGGCTAATTAAAATATTATTGATCGATTAAAATAAAATAAAAAAATTTCTTAAGTTGAATAATGGTTGTCACTATTGTCAGATATCAGGATAAAAATGCAGATAAGTGTTTTGACATCGACTAACTCGTCATTGAGTGTTTAATTTTAATACATATCTCGTCTTCTATGCCTACAACATGAAACTACTAAAATTTACATCGTGTTTGTTGATAAGTTAGATTAGGCACTAGCTTTGAGAAGTCACTTAAACCCGTTTAAAAGAAAAAAATAACATTGAATTCTTTTGACGTAATTTATTTAATGAGCTACCGTTCCATTTAGACGCTCTCCTTTAAATGAGTGCCGAGTGCCAGTAAAATACCTATTATTTGTTTACTTTCTATACTCGATATACATTTAAAGAATCCATTTTTACTACAAATAAAAAAGTTTTTGATAAATGTGTCAAAATAAACAACATTGCTTAGGTACACCATTAAGTTACTGACACCTAAAAATTGATTTTACCTGATTTGTACTGAATTAATTATATTTTGGTTATTAACAAAAAATTAGTATAACACGTATTAAAATGAATATTAAAATAAATAAATAATGTTTTCACGTACCTAGTTAATAATCATGTTATGGAAATAAAACATACAATAATAATAAAAATAGATAGAAGTGTAAACTATAAACAATAAACATATAAAATTCGTATGTCATATTTATTCAAATTATACCTAATTATAATAGCGGGTCACTGCTTAAGAACATTAAAAACTTGCTATTTGCTACTAAAATAATCAATACAATTAGTTTATGAAGAAAAATAAAAATTGCTCACCGTCACCGATATGACGTATTATACAACATATTTTATAAAATCAATATACAAGAATCATTTTTTAATCGTTTAAAGGATTACTGAATTATGATTAATGTATAATTACTACCTGGGTGGCCGATGGGAGGCGACTTGCATATAAATATTGTGTGTCACTTTTTTTG